AGAGAGAGAGAGAGAGAGAGAGAGAGAGAGAGAGAGAGAGAATTTATTAAGTTAAAAAGCTAAAAAATAAGAAAAGTTAAAAATTTACCATTCATTGTGAAAAATGCAACACAAAGTATTATGGAAACAATAATAGACTGCATTTTAGAAACGGTTATATTTAATATACTATTTTGAGTATACTTTATATTATAGTAGTAGAGTATTAAGTGATTTACTAAATACAAATTGTCAAGTATTTATACTATAAATATTTTACTAATAATGTAATGATTTTGTTTAAATATTGCACTTATTTAAGACTGTAAAATTAAAAGCAATTAATTCTCTGTTGGTTATTTGACACACGGACAGCATATACTTCGGAAATTATGTTTTCAATTAGCATTACATAATATAACATGTGTTACCTATTAATTATTTCATTCATTTTAGTGATATTTCCATGATTGTCACATACAATACAATTTTTATAACACTTGTATATTTAATTTTATTATTAATTAATAATTTTACAGATTTACAAAGAGTAGTAAATTTTTATTGTTAATGTTCTTAAAATATTATTAAGATATGTATTATCTTCCAAAAATAAATAAATATATTACAAATTACCTTAAATATTATATATATTTAAATTTACTTTTAGATTATTATCAAGCACCATTCTCATTACGGTTATTTCCACTACTAAATAAATTATTTATTATTTAAGCAAACAAAATAAGCAAGTTATAAATTGCTGCACCGGTCGGCTGTGATTAAAACCATTAATTATGAGTGCTAGAACAATTAATCATAATGTATATTACTGTTAATTTATGTAATATCCGCTTGCTGATTAAAAGTATATAAACCAGCTAGTTTAAACAAATTTCAATCAAAACAAATAGTAATTTTATATAATAGTTAAATATTAAGTAAAATTATCAAAATGAATTCAATTATTACAATTGTGTTTGGCATTTGCCTGATCATCACACAAGGTATATTCTAATTAAATTACTTGATATTTTTATTGATAATCATTAAATTTAATTTTACAAAATTTATAGTGATTTCGGAGGACAATGCTATTGACTACGGAGAACAGGCGAACACCGATGCCGTCAAACTGAGAGTATACTCATTGGTTCAGCCCATCGGACAGATACTGAACGCCGCAGAGGAACGATACAAGAAAGTGGGGTTAACTGTACCCATACAGCTCTATGAGGCGACTAAACTGTTTGCCTTAGAGACTATTCCCTGGGTTTTCCAACAGTTTAAAGCCGTGGCCAACGAGACTGATAGAGAGCGAGTGACCGCACAATTCATTGGCGAAGTCCATGGGTTTAATTATATGAGCGAACGATTGGATAAACTCCGTCAGAGTCGCCCATTGAATGTAACAGGGTCGGCCGAGAATTTGCTTGGTAGAATTCACGCAATGGATGTGTTTATGCAAGGTGCATTGGATGGTGAAATTGCCAATGCTTCCCATCCAGTTTGGGTGGCATTTCACCAGAGGGTAATTACTTATTCATATCACGTTATAATTGTAATACTAATATACATTATATTTAAAATTTTAATTTTTAATCTAATAGATAAAGCAATTCCTAGCTACCGAAATGCCCAAATTGTACAAGGCTATTGATGAATTACCATGCGAACAGTCTAAACTGGGAAATCTCCAAGTGTTGATTGCTGATTTATCACACGCCTCCCTTCCACCTTTATAAATTATAGACTGTTTTATCTAATATTTAACTAATTAAGACATTAATAAAAATAATTATTTGCATTTTAATTATTATTTAATCAAATTATCCAAATTATTAAATCAAGAATATTATGTTATATTACATAATAATGTCAATTACATCATGCATAGAAATAATTTTTAAACAATTTTATATTTTAATTTAAATACTGTATTTTACAAAATACAAAATTGAGACTTAATTATTTTTAACAATTCTCTTTTACAACACTAATTATAACATTGAAATTATCGACCCGCCATAATTTGTAATGACATCTAATACTATATAAACAGTAATTTGCAAAATACAATGTAAGCAACATAAACCATATAAATGGGATTAAATCATGGTCTTTATCATTTGGAAACATTTTCCAGAATATATAATACATTACAATACCAAGTATGTTTAATAAATTAATAGCGATGCACACAATAAATGCATATAAATCTAAACAATCTTCACTGAGATATTGTCTAAACGATTTCATTTCTTTGGTAATCGTAATACCCGTCCATTCCGTGTGGCAAATGTCACACACGTGTCGGCCATTGGTTTGAATGCATCGCTGAAGACATTTGATGTGAATGTGAGCCATAGATCCACTGCAAGCGCACGGAGTTATCATCGATTCCTCGTCTGTGCTCTCCAGACATACCCGACATTCAATCGATACCATTGGTTGGAGATTTATATCCATTGTTTACTAATCATTAATTGATTTTATAATTTAATTTCACAATTGCATTTCGCACATGTTTCACTTAAGCTAACAAATACAATTGTACACTGTATCTATAATATATAGATATAATATTTATCAGGGCTATTAATCACATTTTATGCTTGCATAGTAATGATCTGGCTCATTTATAATCATTTTTATTAGCATACAATCATTCAAATTAAATAAATAACTCATTATTAATGAGTCATTAATAAGTGTAGAGTATATAAATTATATTTCTTGCAATATAAATAGGGCATCCGTAAGGATGCTTTTTGAATGCATATTTAAAAGGCACTAGTTAAATATTATGTTATGATTCTGTAACTGATTCAAAGTTTGTGTTTAATCTGCATACTAAATGACTCAATTATTTGTTATTCTAAATATACATTAAGTTTTATTTAAAAACGTGGGTCAGTTAAATAATTAATTATAAAACAAACTGATATAAATGTATAATTACTGGTCAGAAATGTTGCGAACAATATAAACATTCTAGAAGTTGGGTCCATTAGTTTTATGAAAATCCTATCATAGGTTTGGTATTGTATGTGTGGTTTGCCATAATGTTTCATCTGTCCATTTTGGCAAAACTGGCGCCTATGGTGTGAATTTGGGCAGTAATCACATGGACTCATCAAACAGTGTAACTCAACTATTCTCTCTAGAGATATATAACTAAATTATATAACTATTCTTCAGGTAATGTTTTGATGGCACGGGTGCTGACTCTGTGGCCTGTGGTCTATGACGTGTGTCTCTACGGATACTGCCATCGAAGCCGATACACATACACATGCATAATGCCATAACTTTCAAAGGATGATTAACTACATTTTATAAACCAATTTAATACTCAATTTGTATTAAATCATTAGATTTACATTTTTAACATGATTAAAACTTATATAATATTTAGAAATAATAGAAAGCATATGACGTACTATACATAAGCAGCTAAATATTAATTTAAACCACATTTATTATGCAAATAACGTTTATTGAAATTGTCTTAATAAAAATTAGTCAATGTATTAAATAAAATTAAATCAATAATTTACAAAGGTGGAATTGTAACNTGAAATTGTCTTAATAAAAATTAGTCAATGTATTAAATAAAATTAAATCAATAATTTACAAAGGTGGAATTGTAACGTGCGATAAATCGGCGAGCAGCACCGCGATGTTTTTCTGCTTAGAATCCTCAGTAGGTAATCGGGCAATGGCTGAGTACAGTTTGGGAAATTCGACAGTCAGAAAGTTTTTAATCTAGATAATTTTGAATAAATAGAGTAAATTAATATTATATGAATTATAAATAAATGTCAGCATTGTTTTGTTTATGATGTATGTGCATAATTGAAATTCAAATTACCCTCTGGTGAAATGCAACCCATAGTGGATGCGACGCTATGGACATCTCAGTGTCCAGAGAATCTAGCATAAATTGTTCAGTTCCCTTTAGCCTATTCAACAACTCATCGGCCGATCCTTTGACCACCACATCAGCGCTCTTACGGATTTTGTCCAACCGTTTGCTCATATAATTAAAGCCGTGGACTTCGCCCAAGAACTGTGCGGTCACTCGGGATCTATCGGTAGAGTTGCCGATGGACTTGACCTGACTGAACACCCAGGGTATGGTCTCAATGACAAACACCTTAGCGTCTTCGTACAGCCCTATGGGTACGGGTAGGCCTACATTCCCGTACCGTTTAATGGCCGCATCCATTAACTGTCCGATGGGCTGAACCAATGAGTATACTCTCAGTTTGACGGCATCGGTGTTCGCCTCCTCTCCATAATTGATGGCATTTTCATCAGAATTCACTAATAAAATGGTAGATTTTAATTAAATATCATGATAGAATTTTTTTAAATTTATAATTTACCTTGCACGATTATCAGGCAAATACCAAATAGAATGTTGATAATTGAATTCATTTTTAGTAATTTAACTTGGTTGTTAAGTTTACTAAAGCCAATTATGATTAGTTATGTTTGAAATTTGTTCAAAACTATCATGTTTATATACTTTTAAATTTTCTAATTTATATTATAATATTTAATAATAGACGTGATTTTTATAATAATTAATTAAAATCTCGGCCATAAAATTTTGCACTAAAAATTTTTAAAAAATTGCACTAATTTTAAAAAACATTTACAATTGTTGTGATAATTAATGTATTTTATAAACACTATTGATTACTTTTTAGTTACTGTATTATTATTATATTGAATAACAATAAATTATCCAGCATGTGCATATCAATACAGATTACAAATATAAATATATAAATCTCTGACGAAACATACAAAAACATCACTTAATTCTTAGATAACACATTAAAATTATTTAAATGTTTCAAATAATTTACAATGTGGTAGTTGTAATCTTTATTTCTAAAATATTTATAGAATTGTAATTAATTAAACAAAACGGATGTCAAAATATGAATTATACAAATATCCACCATGTTCACATAAATGATAATTAATGAGCATCACTAAATTTAATGCAATTTATGTAACATGGCAATTTTTTAGTACATATGGTTAATTTATTAAGATTTATTTTAAAACTAATCAAAACACACCTACTATATTATTAGAAAATATTTAAGGTATAAATATCAGAACATTTTCATCAACTGAATCAGTTAATAATATATACTTATAGTAATAAAAAAATACTGTAGTTAAAAGTATATAAAAT